ACTTCACTCTGCTGGGAAGAAATACCTCCAGCCTCCAGGCCCCTTCCCTCCTTGTGCTGCTTGGGCCACGAGCATGCCTCTGGGGGTCAGGCAAAGGGATGTCCCAGCAACCCAAACACTAAGGGGCCAGGTGAACACTACCAATAACCTACAGCGTTAGAAATGGTCTCAGCCATCCCTGAGGGTAGCCCGTGTGGTGTGCTGGGGTGCCTGATTTGCTAAGGGGAGCCAGTTCTGTCCAGAGCAAGTTGGGAGGATCCTTCCCGGCCCGAGGGGTCAGCTCCGTGGGAAGGGGAAGGCTAGCAGTGGGTGAAGGAGGAGTGTATTTCTACCCTCTTGCGGAAGTCCTGTTTTACCCCTTCACTCTTTCTTTACCTCTTCTGTATTTTTCAGATTTTGCACAGTTCTTGTAAACATCACTTAAAAATAAATTTCCCCTAGCAAGGTTGATGCAGCCTCAGGTGTTTTCCTCTGCAGGATTTTTTGGCTTCCCGCAACCAAGAGGCCCATTACATGCCCGTTAGACGCCCTCAAGGTTGAGGCATGCTTAGTAGTTGCTCACCAGCCTTCCCCTCTGCATCTCTGGAGGTGCTAGGGTATTAAATCCCCATTTACTCTAACCCCAACTGGATGTGGTTCTGTACAACCTGCTGCAGCTGACCCAGCTTGAGCGGGAGGTTGAGGTAGATGATCTCCAGAGGTCCCCACCAACCACAGCCTCTCTGTGATCTTGGCTGGCCATCGTGCGAGGAGGAGTGTTTTGGCTAGCTGTGGTAAGTGAACAGCAGCCAACAAATTGCCCTTGTGCTGTGCCGCTGATTAGAGTAAGTTTTAAAAACATACCCACAGCAGGTCCAAACACGTTCGCCTCGCGCAGCTGGGCTGTGCCCGCTTTGCTGATAGAGGACACTAAGCTAAAAGGTGGAGACAGGCTTTCTGTTCCACTTCCAGCACTGAGGAGGAACGGAGCAGGAACGTGCGTTTCCATGGGGGCCGGGACAGTTCAGTGACAGGTCTGACCCTGGGGCTGTCTTCCTCGTGTGCTTTAAGGAGTTTAAAACAAACCTTGCTCTCTGCTGCCCAAGGAAGAGGGACCGATGTTCATCTTACTTCGTGCTGCCTCAAAGATGTAGAACTTCCTACTGAGTTTTCTGTCTGCATTTTTTTTTGTTTTTCTTTTTGCCTTTTTTTTTAAAGCAGTTTGTTAATGTTCATTAAAGAAATACCGTATAGTTTAACTTGATGTCATACTGGATTTTTTTATTTTTTTAACAAAAAGACGTAGTAACTTGGATTTTTAAAGAACTATTTGGTTCTAGGTAGCTTTTTTTTTTTCTTTTGCTATTTAACATATTGGAAGTTCAGTGTATGCTTAAGTGTAGGAGTAAAAATCAGAGGCAGGCTCAGCCTGTCTTTAGAGAAGGGCTTGGTGGTGATGGAGGCCTCCCTGGCTGAGGCTCAGGTCCTGGGCCAGGAAACTGAAGCCTGCGTTTCTGAAATGTGGTCACCGTTGACAGCTCCAAAACCAGAAGTGTGCTCATTCCTTGGAGACCCAGAAGGAGCAGCTAGCCCCCCTGACCCAGCTCATGAGTTAATGAGTGAAAATCTACAGCTAAAGGTAGTCGAGGATCTGTCTCTGGACTTGCTCCGGTGGTGGGAGCGGTGCCTTTGTGCTCTGTTTTCTTCCCCCCCTGAGGCCTGAGTGCCCCTGCAGCAGCTGCAGGATCCCATCCCCTTGGTCCCAGTGCTCCCAGGAACCACTGCCCTGTGACTGCTCAAACCCAGTGCGAGTCTGTGACAGCACCAGTGACGGTTTCATCTGCAAGCCCTGGTGCAGGTGAGCAGGGGGATGGATGGATGGATGGATGGGTATTCTTGCCCCTCCACTGGCTGGCAGGCAGCTGAATGGCTGCTGGTAGCCTCGAGTATATTTTTCTAAGGAGATTGTTTAGTTGGAAGCTGTAATTTCATACTGTCGGGCTGGGGGAGCAGGTTAATCTCCATTGCTGTGCCTTGAGGTCATGTTTTTTGTTTGTTGTTTTTTTTGGGGTGAAAAGTGATGAGACCCAACCAGCAGCCGGGAGGAGGCAAGGCAGGTGCCCCCAGGACATCGCTCTGCAGAGGGTTTCTGGTAACTGCTGGGGTCTCCTTTTCAAACCAAAGAGCAGTCGTGTCCAAAGCCTCTTTGGAGTAAAACAGGCTTCTACTCTGTGTCCGTGTTGTGCTTCAGTCCTAATGTTTATTTCCAGAGACTTTCGGGCTGCTTTGCACCGCCTGAGGCACCGCTCCGGAGCTGGCACTGTCAGCCCCAGGGCTCTGCGCTCCTGTGTCTGCAGGACCTGGCTGCCAGCCTCCAAGGATGCTGCAGGGCAACCTTCAGGTTGCTCCTGAAGGGCATCTTCGAGTGGATGTTCGCCAACTTCTGGTCTCCCCAGGGGAAAGGCAGGCGGCTTAAGCGTAGGGCACCTTTGGGGAGGTGGCAGGGGGCTGAGTTAGGTTGGCTAAAGGCTGCAGGGATGTGTCCCAGAGATAAATCCCCTCTATGGCTGCTGTTCCCGTGGCTTCACACTCCCCAGGAAGAATGCAGTCTGGTACCTGTGTTTTTTTTCCAATCTTCACTTCCCCTTCCGCTGCCTACAGGATGTCTTTGTGTCTCAGCATCTTCCCCTCTGCAGCTATTCTGATTATACTTTTGCAAGACCTTCTGGGCTTCCTTGCCTTTTGTCCGGTTCTTTATTTGTGAGCAGTGTTTTTTCATCCATTTCCCATTCCAATTGCTTGTTTCTGTAAGGTCTCTTCCCACTCCCCTTCCCCCCAGATTCCTCCAGCCCAGCCCGAGGCTGTTCCAGGTGACAACCAGACCTTTGATGATGATCCGACTGGAACCCAGTGGGTGCCTCTGGTCCTGCCCCCAGTGAGGCCAAGCAGGGCACGGCAGCAACGCCCCCAGCCAGCAGCCTGGGCTCTGCCGGGCTGGATCTGTGGTTCAGCGTCCTCTGCAGAGCTGCTCTGAGCCGCAGGAAAGCAGCAGCAGGAGGGAGTGCTGTGGCCACAGCGGGTCCCTCTGCCCCGTCCCTGAGCCCAGGGGTGGAGGCAGCACAGTCTGCAGGGTGTTCCTGGGGAGAGATCGTGGCATTGCTGGCATGGCCATGGCTGATGCCTCCCCAGAGCTGCTGCACTGGCTGAAGAAGCCCCCGGGCTGCAGGTAATGCCCAGCTGACCCTGCGGGCACTGCGGAGAGCAGACGTGGTCCCTGCAATCCGGGTGGAAAGATGTGAGCTCTGCTCTTGGGGCCTGTGTGCTGCAGTGGGGCCGAGGGGGACAGCATCCTCCTGCAGTGATCCGGGGCCTCTCCCGGAGCTCAGGCCTGGCCTCGCACCGCCTGGAGGGAGGGAGAGCACTTTCCATGCTTCTGGGTTTTTACAGCCTGAAGCCAGAGCCTGGGGACTAACCAACAACGCAAGGAACCTGCTGGTGTTCGTTCTTCAGAGCCCAGCTCGCCCTGCGCTGGGTTCCCCTGCGTGGTCCCTGCAGACGCGTGCAGGTGTCGAGGCACAGCAAGTCCCTGAGCGCCTCCAGCCACGACAAAACCACGGCGTGCAGCAGGGAGCTGGCCCCTCGCCTCCCATTGCTCTGAGCTGTGGAGCTGAGGGATTTTCGGGGCTCCTCCTAACCCACGGCTGTGCCTCCGGCTGCGTCCCCAGGGCTGTGGGAGCTTGTGACCGAGGATGCTGAGGTTTGTGTGGCTTGCAGTGCCTTTAACACTGCTCCCCGTGTGTATCTAGGACGATACTTCGTGTGTGTGTGTATATATATTGTATTAACACCTCCTGCTCTTCTGTGTGAGTGTCAAATGGTTTTGCTTTACTAATAAATTTATAGTTATTTATACTTCCCTGTGGGTGTGTAAGATTTCTGGAGAGGAGGCGCTGTGCGAGGCACTGCCTACCGTGGCTTTGTGCTCTGTCTGGCTCTGCTTGATTTTTTATTCTTTTTTTTTTTCCTGGAGAAAATTGGAAACCGAGGGACGAGAGGAACGCATCCTGCTCATCTGGCTGCTTTTGGGGTAGTGAGCGCTGTGCCCCCTGGCCTGTGACAGCCCCTGTATTTGGGAGGCTTTGCACAGGAACCCGGCACTGTACTGAGAGGTGTCTTAAGGTCTGGCTCCTTTTTCAAAGACTTCTGCAGGCAGCGAAGGCGACGTGATCCCAGGGGGAGGACTCAGTGCTGGGGACACCTGGAGCTGGGGAGATGAGATGATGGTTGTTCTCAGCTCACTTTGGTTCCCAGCAAAGCTGTGCCAGGACTGGGACGCTGCGGTGTGGTGTGCTGGCACCGAGCCCCCCAAACCCCGCGCACACCTCGGGGCTTTGCAGCAGCGATTAGGGGCACTGGGAGCCGCTGCTGGTCACGCAGGGCCGGAGGTAAACGGATCAAGCAGCAATTGGCAGGCTCAGCAAGGGGAGGCTTAGCCCAGCCCGGCACAGATTTGCTGCCTTCTGCCCCACATCCTGCGGGTTGGGAGCGAGCGGCAGCGCAACAGGCACCTCGCCTCGCCCCTGGGGGCTCCTCTTTGCGCCACGCTGAGGGCACCTGCAGCCCCGCTGCCACCCCTGCCAGGCCCTGTACCTGCGAGGAGCGGGCACCTGGGTGAGCGGCTGGGACCCTACAGTGCCGGGGTAGCCCTGGGGGTAAGTGGCAGCAGCAGTACTAACAGCTCGTGGGCTTTCTAGGACACCCTTCTCTGTGCCATTTGGGGTTTGCTCTGCACCGTTCCGCTGCCAAGGTGGGATCGGGGCTGGGAGCTAAGCGGTGGAGCCAGGTGGTAGGGGACAGCTGGTGCTGGTAATCCCATCTGCAGGTAGCGTGGTGTAATCCCCCCAGAGCCCTGCCAGGCTGGGGTGGGCTTGGGGGGGTGGTGGGAGCCTGCACATCTTGGGGGGGGGGGTCCTGGGGCGTGGGGTGCCCGGGGCTTGGCCACAGCTGGCAAGTGACTGGTGGCAAGGGGCACAGGCCGGGGGCTCTGCAGGGGCCTCGATCCTCCAAAGCGGAGCCAGGGGATGAGTGTGGGAGGGGTCACAGCCTTATGGCAAGGAGCTCTGGAAGGTGTTGGGTTGGGTAACATGGGGAGTTTTGACCTCTGGTATCGGAGGGGAGAAAAAACCCGAAGGCACTGCAGCGCGGGGCAGGTGCACGCAGCGTTTGTGCAGCAGCTGCCTGCTCTGCCCTCACTCTGCAGGCAAATCCCAGCCGCTTGCCTCTGTAACTTGCAGCACACAGCATCTAGGGGATGCACGACTGCCCTGCTTTCATTCCAGTGCAAGGACGGGCTTAAATTCTGGGATTTACAGCAGCAACAGCTTTGTATCTGCAAGGAGGAGACTTGGCTGGCACAGGGGGCTTCCACCAGCCTTCTCTGGGCTTGCTTGGAATAAACTGTGTAAATTTTCCCTGGGCTTATTGCAAGAGCTGGAAATGTCCCAGGTCATGGCAGAAATGCCCCTGTGCTGCGTGGCACTGCCCGGTTTTCCTTGCTGTCCCCTTTGGCCAACTCTTCCTGGGTAATGCTGCTATTTGCAGCCCTTTAATCCCTGATACCCAGCGGGAGGTGAGAGGCAATTTCTTAATTTGTGTCTGGCCATTGGGCGGCCTTGCAGGGGTTTTATAAATGTGCTGTTCCAGGCTGGGGACGCAGGGGGCTCTGGGGAGCCGAACCTGCCTGTGATGAGCGGGGTGCTGGAGGCTGAGGCGTTGAGCAGCTTCCAGGGAATTCCAGGCAGAGCCTCGCTGGAGAGGCAGCAGCAGGAGATGTCCTCGATCTGAGCTGGGCAAGAGCCCGCAGACCTTCTCCCCTAGAAAAGCATCACAGCGAAGGTGACTCTGAGCAGCAGCATCACTCATCGCACGCTGGTTTTCCACCCGTGTGCTCAGCCTCTAATTTGGGGCAGCAAATGCAGCCTGGTGGTGCACCCAGGCTTGGAGTCACACCAGGAGGTGAGAGGGACCCCAAAAGAGTGAGCAGACAGAGCCTGAGCAGCTGAATAACTGCTTCTCAGTGTCTTATTTTTGAGCACCCCATCAATTTGCCAGCAAATGCCTGTCCACCCTCGCTGCCTTCCCCAGGACCCAGGCACTGGACGTCACTGGGGGCCACCAGGGGCCACCATGCTGCAGCAGACAGGGTGAGAAAGTGCCTGGGGAACTTGTCCAACACATCCCACCTGGCCAAAAGGTGCTGGAACAAAGCTGCTTCTGAGAGGCAGGACAGGGAGCTGTGTGTGCCGGGGCCCAGGACTCACCCATCAGAAAATTCTGCTAAAGCTGCTGTAGTTTCTCCTTGGAGGAAATGAATTTAGTGTTCAGGGGGGTGTAGGGGATGCTGAACAAAGCATCCCTGTTTCACTGAAGCATCTGCTACAGTTTCACTTGGGCAGCCCTAGCTGTGGAGGATTGTGCAGCAGGAGCAGTATGAAAGCTGAGAAAAACCAAATGGGTGATTCCATTTGGGAACTGCAAGTTTTACTCTGTGTGAGCTTAAAATAGAGGGGGTATCTGGCTTGTGACAACAATTAGGGTCGTGGCGTTGAGATGGGTTTGGTCTGGGTGCTGCAACGCTGAGTTTACCAAGCAGGAGGTGGGAGAAGGAAGGAAGCTGAGGACCTGCTCGGAAGGTCTGCGGACGGAGCCCTGTCCTCGCTGGGCGCAGAGATGCTGGGCTGGATTGAGCGGGTGGTTCCCCAGCCCCCCGCGCCATGCCTGATGGAGGAGAGCCCCCCAGCCCCAGCCCCGGAGCCAGCCAAGGTGAGCAGGGACCCAGGGGCCAGCAAGGGGGGTGCCCTGTTAATTCTGCGCCCAGCCCTGGGATCTGGGGATGCTCTGCAGCCAGGGAGGGATGGGGGCCACAGCATGTGCCCCTGGGCTGCTGGGGGGTGCTGGGGGGTGCTGAGAGCCAGGGCTTGCAGCCTCCTTTCGGCTGAGGCCAGGGGAAGCACTGGGGACACCATCATCTGGCCTTTGTCCTGAGCCACCCCTCCTGCCCATCACCCAGGTGCCAGCACGGAAGGGCAGCAGCCCCAGGGATGCTGTGGACAGCACACGTGTGCAGGGTAAGCCCCGTGGTGGGGGACACGCAGGCTCGTTTGTCACCCACAACCTCTCCTGCCATGCATGCAGAGTGGTGACAGGAGCTTTTTTTTTATTATTTCTTGCTGGTGTTGAAGAAACTGAGAAGAAGGTGGAATTTGCAGTGCCTGAGGACGTGGTCCCCGCATCAGCATCGGTGTTTGAGAGGTACTGCGCTTGCACCCTCTGTGGATTTTAGGTTTCAGCTGGGGGCAGTGGGCAGGGGAGCCCTCCATTGCTGCCAGCCCCACCTGGCCTGACACGTGATTCTCCCCGGGCAGTGTGGGGAGCAGTGTGCTCTCCTGGCTCTCCCAGGGGCTGGAGAAGGTGATCCCACAGCCAGTCCAGGCCCCGGGGACACTGCAGGCACTCGGGAAGAGCTTTGAGACGAGCATCGATGTTCCTGACCAGGTAGGTGACAGACCCAGGAAATGGTCTGGTAGATTCCCCTGACATCCCAGCTTCTAGGTTCTTTTTTTCTTTCTTTTTAGCATTTTGGTTTTCTTCCCATCACCCTCCCAGTGCTCACAGGGAGCATGGGCCCATCTCCAGGCACTAATCCTGCCCCGCAAGGCTTTCTGCCTTCACCCACCTTCGGGGAAAGGGTTTTCCTTGTTCTCTGGGGTGAGCCCTGTGTGTCTGGCGGGCTGGTAGCAGCTTCTATTTGCCTTTTCAGACGGAGGTCCAGGTCATCAAGGATGAAGAGGAGGATGCTCTGGGTAAGGGGAGCTGGGCCCCCACAGCTTGTGGCTTTTTGGAACTCCCCATCCCCTCTGGTCAGCTGCTGCTGGAGCTGTTGGCCCCTTGGGTGTGCGGAGAGGGGCTGGGGGCCCGCAGCACTGCCGGCTCCAGCTCCCTTCTGGCAAGGTGAGCACAGATCCTGCTCCCTGCAGAGATCACCCCCTTCGACCCTGAGGAGGACGAGCTGGATGGCTGCTGAGACGGACACGGGTTTGGACACGGGTGCAGAGGAATGGTGGGTTCCACGCGACGGTGCCTCGGTGGGGAGAGGGACGGGGGGACGCGGGATGCAGGTTTTGGGACGCAGGTTTTGGGATGTAGGATGCAGGTTTTGGGATGTAGGGATGCAGGGTGAGCTCTGCCAGTGCTGCCCTCTCCCTGCAGGGCAGGAGCAGCGTGTGCTGAGCTGGCTGGTGCAGGGCTTCGAGAGAATGGTGCCGCAGCCGGAGATGCCGAAAAAGCCTGAGGTGAGCACAGCCCGGCAGGGGCAGCCCCAGGGGCTGGGGCCTGCTGTTGTGGCACTGCAGCTCCCACCTCCCGAGGTGGAGGGGGAGAGCTTCCCCCAGCCCTTCCCTTCCCACTGCAAAGGGGATTCTGGAGCCAGGGAGACCTCAGAGCCCCTTGCTTCTGTCGTGCTTTTGTGACGTTGCCTAAGCATTATTTTTTTTTTCTTGAGATTCCTTAAAGGTTTTCTCTGGAAATCTTGGTTTATCACAGGGGCACAATGCCTCCTTTGATAGAGTGTGTATTCAGACCTGCTCTCAGGTGCATGGGCACACGCATGGGGTGTGCCAATGCCCTGTTAACCAGTTCCTGCCAGCCACGGCCCCGCTATGGCCCACCCCTGCCTTTCCCCCCACTGGCATTACGTGCATCACCTCCTGCATTGAAGAAAACAGTTTTTCCAGGAGCTCTGCTGGACAAAGGGCCCCTTTCCAAGCCGAAGGGTGTGGGAAGAAGGGCACAAGACTGAGCTGTGGCTCAGGAAGGGATGGCGGGGGGACATAAAGAGCCTTTTTTCCTTCTGCAAGCCTTGCTGGGTTCCACCCTGATGGGTTTTCCTGCTGCTCTGGGGGGGAGCAGCCCATTCAGGCCAAACATTGTCTTGACAGAAGAAAGGGAGGGAGGGCAAATTCAACATATAAACTGCTTTAGGATTAAAAATAAACAGGTTTCTATTGAAAGGCAGAAACGTCTCCATCCCAGCATGCCAGCTTCAAAGCAAGTGAGAAATGCTGCTGAGAGGCTGGGCAGAGATCAAAGAGGAGCAGGCTCTGCGTCGTCCTGTGCTCCTGGGCACAGACCTGGGCAGGGAAAGCCCAGGAGAGCAAAACAGGCAGCTGGGGTGCTGCTGGGTGCTAGCTGGGTGATCTCTGAGGTCCCTTCCAACCCCAAACCTTCCACGATTCTATAATTCTGCGAGTTGCTTTGGTGAGAGGGGAACGGCAGCAAGGGGCTGCTGGCCAGCTGCATCCCCCCGTGCCTCTGCCTTCCCCTGTGTGTCAGGGCCATGCGTGGGGGTCCCCTTGGGACCTGGTGGGGGGGCATGGGACAGCACACAGCACATCACCACATCCTTCTGTCTCTCTGTCCCTCTGCAGCCAGAGCCGAAGGAGGAGAGGCACAAAGCTGCGGCAGGAGGTGAGCCCTTTCTCAGGGGAACCTTGCCCCATCCTGATGTGATGCTCGGCCTTTGGGACCGCCAGCTGGGCTGCCAGGGGCACCGTGGTACTCCAGCCCCACGTGTGCCCCCCAGCAGCCCACGTCCTCACCCCGGGGAGGTCCCCAAAGCCCGTTCTGCTGTGGGAGGCGACCCTTCTTTGCTTGGTCCTCTGCCCCAGCCGGCTGTAGGATGATCGCTGCATTTCCTTTTCCCCCTTCTCTTTGTGAATAAACCTGAGCAGGCACAAAAGGGACTAAAACCCAGGCGAAGGTGAAAGGGAACGTTTCAGCTGCCCCGAGCATCCCGGGAACAGTGGAGCCAGTAGCTGCTGAGGGGCAGCCAGAGCCTGTGGCCACCGTCCTCCCTCGTCCCCTGGCTGGGGACAGCAGCAGGTAAATGCAGCAGGCACCTACTGCGTAGGTGCAGGCACTCCTGGAGGCTTGTGTCCCTCTGACAGGGCTGTGGTGGGAACAAAGAGCCTCCAAAATCAGCCTCTGACAGTTTTTTTTGCTCGGCAGCATGTTTGGATGGTTTGTCCAGGGGCTGGAGAAGGTGATGCCACAGCCTGTGAGCAGGGAGAAGCAGGACACGCAGGTATGCAGCCTGCAGAGAGGCGATGGGGGCGTGGAGGTGATGTGCAAGGCAGGGGAGGGTCCTGGTGGTGCAGGGGCTGTGAGGACGGGCAGATGTGCAGGGACCTGCTGGCTGTGCCCACGCTGCAGTTTGGGGTGGGCTCATGAGCATGTTTTGCTGCACCGGGCTTGTGCCCTGCCACACAGCTCCGTGGAGAAGAGAAACCCCCACAGCTGCTGAAAAACAGGCTTTGCCCTCTGAGGAGCCAGAAAGCTCCTGGGGTGGGTTTCCTTTATCCTTTCCTTTGCTCCCTGAGCACCACCCAGCCCAAGCTCCCCGCTGCCACGGGGTGCCAGGCTCCCCAGCTTGCTGGAGCTGGAGGCTGAGCCTCAGAGCCATGGTGAGGAACAACAGCACCTGTGCCACTGTCCTCTCTGTCTCCGGCACCAAAACGACCTCCAAGGCCTTGCCCTTCCCTCCACAGCTGTGTGGGCAGCCTGGTGCCCCTGGTCCAGCCCTGTGGCACAGCACTACCGTGCCTGAGGCCCGCAGAACCCGGCTGTCCCACAGACACTGCATGGGGCACTGAGGGTAAAAGGGCCACGGTGACCCAGAGCCAGCAACAATTCTGCTCTCACACCAAAAGCTCCGTGAAGTTCCCAGGGTCAAATAACCAGAACGGGGATGCCTGTTTCATCCCAAATGCTCCTGCTGAGCGTGGTGCTGGGGATCCGGTGCTGCTGTGGGTTGGAGGCAAGAGCAGGGGCTGCGGCCAGGGGGAGTCCAGGGGCAGGGGCAGGAGCCCTGCCAGCCATGCCTCACAGTTTCACTTTTCTTCCTGGCAGGGAGCAGCAGCGGCAGCCTTCAGCCCCGTGGAAGAAAGTAAGTGCTTGCTCTTCCCACCGTGCTGCTCAGCTTGCAGAGGACAGTTCAGGAAGGGGGACTGCCGGCAGCTTTTATGCCCCAGTCTGTAGTGGGTGTCAGCTTGGGGGCATCTGAAAATCCCCTGAGAAGCCAGGAGAGGCCACTGTGGTGTGAGAGCAGGGAGCAGATCTGAGTTCGTGGATTTGCTGAAGCCCACTGCTGTGTGAGGAGCCTGGGGCAGCAACTTGGGGAGCTTTTTGGAGCCCCCTCTGCAGAGCTGTGCTGCTGAGCCCGAGCTCCTGCCTTGGGAACGCTGCCCCCAGAGCCCTGGGCTCCCACGTCCTGGGGCCCCACTTTGTGAGATCCAGTGCTGCCATCCAGGTCCGTGCTCGAGTCATGCCAGAGGATGTTTTCTGGGCTGCTGGGATTTGCCCAAAGCACATAGCACAGGTGAATTCAGATCTTGCCCTTCGTTAACCCACGGCACACATTTGCTGCTGAACTCCAGGGTGTTTCCAAAGCCTGGAGGGATATGGCTGGAGTGGTACCTGAGAAAAACTCCTCTTGCTAGCGGGGTTTAGACGTGTTAGACATGAGCATGCACGGCTGGGAAACACTGCAGGGATGGTGTTTCTCTGCCTGTGGAGCAGGACGAGGAGAGGCAGGAGGACACAGCTGGAGCAGGGCAGGCACTTCCCTCGTGTGCAGCCTGCTCTAGTGCCCGGTCTGGGTGTGGAGGCAGCTCCAGTCACTTAACCTGGCAAACAGGGAGCGAGACCTGCTCTGGCACCAAACTACCAACAGGCTCATTAATGTTTTCCTTCTCCTTTTGTTTCAGGGGGCAAAGGGGCTTAGCGCCTCTGAAACAAACGGAAAACGAAGTCTGTGGAGGGCCAGCCTTTCCCCACCAAATGAGACCACCTCGCAGAGAAAGCACAGCGGGGGAGGAGAAAAAGCAAAGAGCAATCTGCAAACGGTCCCTAGCCCCTTGCCAGCCAGGCTGCGGGGCGCGGGGACCCGAGGCTGTGTGTCCCCGCTCCCTGCAGCTGCCGGCAGCAGGACCTGGCCCTGGCCAGCCCTGAGCACCAGGGGAAGGTCAGCGTAGCCGCTGCCCCTGCTGCCCTGGTCCTGCCCTCGCTCTCTCTTGGCCTTGCTGGCTCCACGAACCACAGCTGGTGATTTTGCAGGACAGGGCTGGGACTGATGTCTGCTGGATGGGAGCAATAATTCATGTGAGGACAGACAAACGCCTCTCAGGGCACCTCCGAGGCAGAAAACCTCTCGCTGCAGCCTCCCACAGCACACCCAGCTCCCTCAACTCCCCTCCCACCCCCCAGCACGCCAATATTTACCACCGAGATCTCTGGCTGAAGCCTGCAGACTTCTTTAAATCTATTTCTGTCTCAGTGGCATCACTTTATAAAGCCCTTTAAGCTTCATATTGCTTTTCTCCCGTTAACTGAGTGTTTTCTCCCAGAGGGTGGAGAGGGCTCTGTTTGGCAGCAGCGGATGCAGGAGAACAACCTCCAGGAACCAGGCAGGAGCCAAAGGCCTCCTGGTGTGGAGGAGGGTGTCAGCTCACCATGAGCAGCCCCTGCTTGCCCCCAGAGCCCATCCAGTGCCGCACCAAGCACGGCAGCAGTGTCCCAGCAGGGAACGGTGCCCAAGGGCTGCCTCCAGCTCTGGGCTGGGGGCTTGGGGAATGCGGGCACGCCGGGCTGGGGAGGGCAGGAGCCCCTAAATGCCAGGTGTTTGGCACAGACCTTCCCATTGCATCCCTAGGTAGCCTTAGTGGTGAGTGGTGAGCCAAGCAATCCCGCTGAGCCCCAGCCCCTGTGTTTATGACGAGCCCAGCTGGTGTCAGGATAGGATCTTAGTATTTGCCCTGTTTTCATATCGTGTATTAAAAAGTTGCAGCACGTTTCAAAAGCTGTCTCCGTGGTTCCTGTCCTTTGTTACAATAGCTATAGCTGCAGGGAGAGCGGGCTAAAGGCAGACGAACACTGCTGGGTGAGGAGCTGGTTTGGGAGGCATGGTGCAGAGCAGACAATGCAGTGGGCCTCCTGCCTTTCTGTATTTAAGTCTGTCCATTTCCTATTAGCTTCCCTGGGGACGTGTAAGCTCCCCTGAGTTTTGCCATCAGTCAGACCTCACGTTAAACTGGTTTGGAATGACGTGGATGCAATTCCTCCTCCTGCTCCTATAGGGCTGTGTAGGGATGGAGAGGCCCGGGAGGCACATGTGGCACACCAGCCGTGTGCTCCCCCAGTGATGCTGTGGAACAGCGGGGTGCACAGCAAGCTGCCTGAGCAGGGCCAGATCCTCGCACTTTTTACCTCAGAACAGCCTCCAGAGCTCGAGCAGCTGTGGCACCACTGACCAGGCTCATTTCCTCGGGCTGCCCCACATGCAGGGACCAGGCTCAGTCCTGGAGGCGTGGGGCATCACAGAGGGGGTCAGCACGGGCTGAGGGCTGTGCATCACACCACCACACACTTGAAGCTCTTTCCACAGCTCCTTACATTGATATGCAATAAGAACCAAAATGTGGCCTACTGACGAGCCCTGGCAGGGGTTGCTACACGCTTAGGGAAGTCCAGAGGCATCCCTATACAAGTATAGATGCAGTTTTCATAGGGCTTTGGACATGCTTGGTACAAAATGTCAAATTTTCTTCTTCCTCCTGGCAAAAGTGCCCAAGGCATCCATCTGGCACCACTCGAAAGGACCAGGACGGCACTGGATCTGTGCAGGCTGAGCAGCACTCGGGTCCTGCCATAGGGCAGCACCTCTGCAACGCAGAGCAGCAGCTGCAGCACAGCCAGCATGTCCTGGCACGGCCAGACCTCTCAAAACCAGGCTGTGTTCACTTCACTGCTTCTTTCCCCAATCCCATTTCAGTTCATATCGTCCCTGTGGAGGTTGTGGAGACAGACCTAGTCGTGGAGGACATTGATGATGACTGGAGTGATGAAGTAGCTCACGAGCCAACGGCCTGGGATGGCGTGGCTGAGCTGGTGGCCCAGGGTCGTCCTCTGCCCCCCATAGAGGAGGAACTTCAGGAAGAAGAGACCAGGTAGGAAAAGGGAGCAGCAGGTGCTTGAGCAAGCTGCTTTTCCTTGAGATTGCCCCTGAGATTTGGTCTGGGGGCTCAGGACAGACACACCAGCTGCTGACACTGCGGCTGCAGCAAGGGGACAGCTAATATATGGCTCTTCTCTGGCTTCCAGTAAGCAGATTTTGGCCTAAGGCAAGAGGGTTTAGACCTCATTGCCATCAACAATGCATCCATCTGTCATGGGATTTGGAGATTGTATTCTTCTCTATGTAGTTCATTCTACTGCCCAAAGAAACCTTTGCTGAGATCCTTCCTAGACCACACAGTGCATTCAGTGCTGGGGGCCGGCTGTACTTCAGCAGAGAGGTGAGAGGTTTCCATGCACACTCCCAAATGGCTTGGGATTCTTCTTGACAAAGGTTGTTAGACTGATGGCAGAGACATCGTTGTGCAAGATTTTCCCCACAAGTCGTGTTCCAGCTGAAACAGGTGCTGTGCACACCTGCATGCTCTATGGAAGCTGAAATGTGCTGGATTGCTCTGTAGTTTTGATGTTCCTCTTTCACTCCATGGGGAAGTTCTCAAGAACCAGCTTCATGAGAAGAACCTTCACCTTCTCTCTCTGGGTGTGGTGGGCAGCTGCTTCCCATTAGTATGTGAGCCTGAGAAACTGGCAGCTTGTGCAACACTGGACAGAGCATCTCACTAGCAGGCAGATTTTGCTCAAAATCAGCAGCCAGGCAGCGCTAGGCAAGTCCTGTGCTGCAAGGAGAACATGACGAGGACTCTGGTTTTGTGCTTCCAGACGTTTTTCCCTTCATTGCTGCACTGAACTCACACAGTGCCTCACAACAGCATGCGCCTGGCGTGCCCCTCTGCGTCCTCCAGGTGTTGGCATGGGGGTGGTGGGCCCAAAGGGTGTGGGGATGGGTGATGCTGTCTGAGCCATTTGCTCCCATGCCTCCAGTAAGGCTCAGACCTGCTTTGTGCATCTCACCTGATGAGCTTCTCCCTCCCAGGCTGTGCTCCTGCCCCCTGAGTGCTGCTGAGGAGGAGCAGGAGGAGCAGGAGGAGCAGCAGGAGCAGGAGGAGGAGGAGGAGGAGGAGGAGGAAGCGGAGGAGAAGAAGGAAGAGGAGGAGGTGGAGGAGAGCGTGGGGTGAGTCCGTGCAGGGTCTGTGAGTGCCTTCAGCTCTTCTCCTGTTTACAGCCTGTCTGGAAACGAGCACACTAGCCATGGTTGTTTCAGATGCATTTACAAGCTGCCGAGATTGAGACACCTGGGCAAGAGCAAACTCCTCTCTGCAGGGCTGGCCCCAGGACAGGCTTGTGGCCGCTATGGGGGAGCCCAGCGGGCTGTCAGCTCTGCCCACCCCTGTCTCTGCTGGGCCAGGAAACAGCTTTATTTCCAGAAGATGCTTCGGGGGGAGGGGAGGAGCGGGGGGGGAAGAGGAGCAGGGATGTGCTTTGGGGAGGATGCTTTGGAGGGGGGGTGATGCTTTCGAGAGGATGTTTTTGAGAGGATGCTTTCGAGAGGGCGCTTTCACCAGGATGCTTTTGCTGGTGACATCGTGTCTCCTGGCGACACGGGCTCCAGCGCTGCAGCCGCCGCCCCCTCTGCACAGAGCCGGGGGGTGAGCGGGGCCCCGGGGCTCCGGGCACTGCACCTTGGCTGCAGGCGGGTTTGCTAACTCGGGGCGCTCGGGATTCCCGGTAGGACGGAGCTGAACCTAAAGACAGCACCGAGCCGCGGCTAAAAACACTCCCAGGGACGAGTAGGTGCGTTTGTGCCTCTTGTGGAAAACAGCCGGGCTATTGTCAGCTTTTGTAGGCAGGAACTTTGGACCAGGCAGTGTTTAGATATGTTATTTATGTATTTAAATAGATATGATGTTTAGATACTTAAATATGTTTCTGATCAGTTTAGCGGTTTGCTCTGATTTCACATGACATAAACACTTAGGGATTTCTAACCCAGCAGCCTAATATTCTCTGCCTTTTGCTAATTCCTCTGAAGGAGCTAGATTTTCAGGAAGAGGCTGAAAATACATAATTATTCAGTGTTAAATACTTAGCTAATTATTGAATCAAAATCTGTTTTTCAACAGGTTTCAAAACAGCATTTTGCATGCTCCTGTAGAGCTACAGCAGAAACATGAGTTTCAGTTGTTGAGTGAATGAGATGTTGTTCAATCTTTGTGTTAGTCTTTTTAGGAAAACAGAGATGTTGGTGGGTTTTCTAGAGTAGGATGAAAAGACTTGGGACTGTATTTGAAGGGAAGCTAGTACACAGGAAACAACAACAACAACAACAAAAACTCATAAAGCAGCAGCTTTCAAGAAAAGGAGATAAAGCGAAAAATCAGACACTATTTGTTACATACATCTTCTAGCTTAGGACTTGTGGAGAATGCAGAAATATGTTTTGTTTTGTTTTTTTTTTTCAGTATTACTGCATTTAGCTACCTGATTTTATTTTATTTATTTATTTATTTTTCACTATTCCCAGTCTCTGCCTTGCTTCTCTCTCCAGGAAAAAACAAATCAGGAGATAACTGCACAGAACATGATCAGTCCTTTTTTTCAGATATAAAGTTATTTTAACACAATAAATTCAATCCTTTGAGCCCCCTTGGCCAGAGTGGTGGAAGTGGGGTCTGTGCTCAGTGCTGAAACTGCAGCTGGAAAAGGAAAATTCACAGAATCACAGAATATTAGGGATTGGAAGGGATCTGGAAAGATCATCTGGTCCAATCCCCCTGCTGGAGCAGGAACACCTAGATCAGGTCACACAGGAACAGGGCCAGGCAGGTTTTGGAAGTCTCCAGAGAAGGAGACTCCACAACCCCCTGGGCAGCCTGCTCCAGTGCTCTGTCACCCTCACCGTAGAAAAAAATTGTCTCATATTTAAGCAGAACCTCCTGCGAACCAGCTGGCACACATTGCCCCTTGTCCTGTCATTGGATGTCATTGAGAAGAGCCTGGCTCCATCCTCCTGACACCCACCCTTTACATATTTATAAACTTTAATAAGGTCACCCCTCGGCCTCCTCCAAGCTAAAGAGCCCCAGCTCCCTCAGCCTGTCCTCCTAAGGGAGAGCTCCACTCCCTTAATCATCCTCGTGGCCTCTCTCAAGCAGATCCCTGAGCCCACAGCTGGACACAATATTCCAGATGGGGTCTCACCAGGGCAGAGTAGAGGGGCAGGAGAACCTCTCTTGACCTGCTAACCACACCCCTTAATTATGTGTCGTTACGTTAATTAAAATTATGTGTCCTGGTGGTGCCTTGTATGAATGAACTTGGGATTCCAATGGTGGTTGTAGGCACCCCTGCCTGGAAATTCCAAGGCTCTTGGATTTTTATTTGGCAAATTTTAATTATATGATAAATTATTATGCACAGCAATATAAACATTTTTTTTTTTTCTGAAAATGTTCCGTATTTTTATGCACCTCTCAGTCTCCCATGTAGCATCCTTTTGAAAAACATGATAAAGTCCCTTCTAATCTAGTGGCTTTTTATTTTTTGGTGCCACCTCTGTATCAAACTAAGCTCGGTCCAGAAGTGGACTCAGTCTCATGTCTCTGCTTGGTCTGTCCCCTCCAGAGCCCTGCTCCAGTCTCCTTGCCTCCCCACCGATGAGGGGCTGGAGGACGCCTTCTTTGCAGAAGAGGCCCTCAGCTTCGCGCAGCTAGAAGAAGCTGAGATAAGTGATCTGGAAGGTGCTTTCGTACAGGTATGGAGTATTTTTGTACAGGTATGTGCTTGCAGTGGGTGCTTGCTGCCACGTGCACACCAGGCACCCAGGGAGCAGGGCTGGTTGTGGGGGAACACAGCACTGCCCAGCCAAACTGCTGCTTTTTTGCTGATGGAAAGGCATTTTTTCTCCTTAAAATGGCTTTTTGATGTTGTTGTTGTTGTTTTGAAGGTGGAAGACAAGACGGTTGAAGTTACCGAAACTGATGCTGAAGGTACCTGAATATATAGCAGTGCAATGTCATACGGGGATGAGCCGAAGCAGGCAATGTGTTGCCCGGTGAGGGATGAAGCAGCTTTTGCTCTCTGAGCACTTGCTGCCTGGGAGTGAATGACTGGCACAGGCTGGCTGGGCCCGCCTGGGCTTCTTGCTAAATTAAAACAGCCATGGGAGCAGTCTGCTGGCTGCAGAGCCCTGCTGGAGACAGATAGGGAAGGCTGGTACTTCATGCAGCACCCAGGCATGCTGATTAAATAACCTCTGATATGAAATAAGTTTTTCCTCCAGCCAAAGAAGAACACATAGAAAAAAAAAAAAAAAAGAAAAAAAAAAAGAAGAAGAAAAAAAAGAAAAGGATTTTCTTTACTGCTTTATTCAATATTTGGGGAATAATCAGTGACACAATAACCTCTTAGAAGTTAATGGGCTGTTAATGAAGCTTGGCTGTGGAGCTCCCATCTCATCCTGAGTGAGCAAAGCCAGCTCCTGGCACAGCTGCACCAGGGCTGTGGGAGCTGCTGCAGGAACAGCGCGATGTGGGTCCTGTTACGGGCAGGAGGTTTCTTTCTTGTCCAAATGCTCGTGCAGCCCTGGCAGAGCACTGCAGCCCATAGCAGCGCTGTGCCCACAGGTGCATGTGGCAGGATGCTCACTGCCATTGCTCCGTGCTGCCAGCATCCCCATGAGGCTGGCAGCATTCTAAAAAAAACCATCAGCCCTGCATTTCTCTGCACTGAAATAACTGTCCTGTCTCAAACAATTCTGTGTTTTATTGCAGCTTCAGATGCCTTGTCCTTTGCTTGAAGCACCTAGACGCCTAGCAGCATGTCCAAGCATGCTCGAGACCTTGAGCTAGACCGGCTGGTGCATGACAAGCTGCTCGACCGCGGGGACGCCTCCCCTCCCGTGCTAGAGCAGCTCCCCAATGTCCCCAGCTACCGAGCTGCTGCTGCCTCCCGCATCCCCGTCCTTGCTGCCAGAAAGCGAAAGGCTGGAGTTGTCAACCCCGTTTTTTGCAATGAGGAGCAATCCCCTGTTCAGCCCCCTAGGTATTAGAGGATCGGCTCTGACAATGGGATCGTGTAGCTAGGGGGTGGGTCCTAGTCCTGGCACAGTTGCTTTTTGTTGCTTTTTGAAAAACAAAAACAAAACAACAATAGATAAGAACACACTTCATGTTGCAGCACAGAGACTAGGGAACAAACTTCATGTTTTTCTGCTTCTGCTTCATCATGACGTGCCTTTTTAGTTCAGGTCCTAGAGTGTAATTGCAAATAACCATAAGTGACCACTCCAACTTGGCTGAAACTCCATGAAAGGTCCTGCAGGCTGAGGGTTAAATATCTGCTGCACATGCATTTTCTCCTCAGCATCCATGCAACCCACTCACACTAAAATTACAGTAAGACGGGGGTTTACTGTTTGCAGCTTTCTGTGTTTTAGCCCAGAAATACAAACCGTGTTTCTATAGCTTTGCTTTGCTTTGTTTTTGGCCAGCAAGCCAGATTCTGCTGCTTTTCCTTACACGTGCCAGAATGTTAACCTTGCAATCCACATGGGCCTTTCCTTGGTGATTCAGCTGAGCCATGCTCTGATCCATGGGTCCTGCGGCTGTGTGGGGCTGGAAGGCTTGCACAGGGTCCTTCAGTTGGGTGAAATCCCCTGGGAAGACCACCTGTGGGGACACATAGCGTCTCTTTACGTGGCTTAGATAGTGAGGACTGGTCCTAGCCTGTCCGGCTGCAGGATCCAACCAAGCTGCTGCCAGCAGCTGCTTCTCTCGTGGGCAAGTGGCATCACTCCCATGCCCTGCAGACATCTGCCCAACGCTCGCAGTGAGCAGGCTGAACCCCTGCAAGTTGTGAAAGCAGACAGGAAGCAAACTGCACTTCTTACTGCGTTAAAAACTGAGCAAAAAGAAAAGGAAATGCTCCAATGCTTCGGGAGAAAATTGCAAAATAAGGAAAAAAAAAGCAGCCCTCCTCCAGCACATGGCTTAGAGGCCATCAGGAATGAAGGCAGCTGGTGGGAGGGCTGCCGGCTGCCCCCAATTCACTCTGCCTTTCTCCCCTTCTCCAAGGGCTCGGTCACTGCCTCACCGTGGGTGTTGAGGACGTGGACGGCGGAGGTGATGCTGCAGAGGAGGATGGCACCTGCTTGCCGCTGCCCACCCCTGGTGACCCCCACATGCTGGTGGTGCCCGGTGCTGTGCCAGCGTCCCCCAGGTAGGGCTGAGCCAGGCCTGGCTGGATGGATGGAGTCTTTCTGGAGCTGCCAGCAGAAGCTCGGAGCTCACAGGCTGCCCGGGGGGCAGGGGTGCAGGCACTGTGTGGTACCTGATTCACATCTCTCTATTCTTGTAAGGCAGGGGCACAGCTATGTCCCGAAATAGTCCCTGGCCTTATTTCTTGAGTTTATTTTCCATCATGAGACACTCAAAGCTTGGGTTTGTCCTTTTCTCCTTGCACAGCAGATGAGGCTGTGTGTCTCCCCTCTGCTGGGACAGAGACCAGGCACGTCACTTTCCTCAGTGCCTGCTGTTGCCATCAAAGGGTTGAGATGTGCTGCTTTTCTGGGAGTGTTCAATTGCCTTTGGATCAGGGCTGAGGTCCTGGGCTGTCTTTTATGCCATCAGCACAAGTAGAAAATGGACAAAACTCAGACTGGTGCCCATGTCGCACATGTCAGCACATCTCAGACACATTCGGAGCCAGGGACACAGCAAACCACAGCCATGGCCTCCGTTTATTCAGGTACACATATCTGTGCCACCTGCAGGCAGTTTTTACAACATGCAAGCACTAGTTCCTTCTTTTAAAAGTTTCCTTCTTTACTGCCCTTTTGACACCAGTGAACAATCTCATTTTGAGATGATGACAGCAGGCAGAGGAAGCGTGAGGTCAGCTCAGAGCAGCCACCCGCCGGACAGCAGATACTGGAAAAGCAGCTCAGTATTCCCCAGAACAGCTCTTTTGGAGCACCTCAGTTTTCTTGTGTTGTTTTCTAGTATTTTATGAAGCAGCAGGTTGCATGGTTGGCGTTATGCATAGTGAGCAAGGAATGTTTCTGCCACGCTTCCATTTTGTGTCTCTCAAGGTGGCACTGGAGGTCTCTAGACAGAGCTGGAGGTTTCTAGAAGCAAGTTGTGTTTTACTCGGTAAAAACTACAGTTTCACCGCCCCAAAGCAGGAGAGCCACTGGGCAGAGCTTGGTGCAGGCTGGTGCTCTGAGAGGAAGAGGACATTTACTGGCCACAATTTGAGCTTCTGGCCATGCAGTGGCTCAGAAGGACCTGGGTTCCTCTTGTTTAGACCCAGTCACAGAAGAGCCACAGCAAACAAGCCACAAGTTGTTGCCTAATCAGTGTCTGGAAGCAGATAGTGTGTGAAATGGCTCCAGCTTCTTTTCTCCATCTGTGGCCAGTTATACCTTGGTATGAAAAGCTAATTCCCACAACCAGAGCCAAGCAAGAATGTGCCATAGGAAGCATGCCCATGCACAAACCTCTTTAGAGGTGGCCCAAGGAGGGCTGGAGACAACAGCAGGCAGCTGTATGCCCACGCAGCCATGGGCTTGGTGGCACAAAGGAGGGACCAGATCTTTAGCAGCAAAAGGAGCAAGGTGATTTTCACATAACAATGTCAGGTGATGCCAGAAATTAAGGGGGGAACAGATGTGGCTGGGAGAAGGGGAAGTGGCAATAGATGAGACCTGGGAGGAGGAGGAGCTGGCTGAGGAAGGGGGCACTCAGCTCGCTGCTCCCCCCAGCATGGGCTCTGTGCTTGTGCCTGCAGGAAGAAGCTGCCGGCCCCCACGGACAACCTGGATGAGGCACCGGCGAGCTGGGATGAGCTGCAGAAGGACAGGTGCGTGCTGGTACCCTGCGCCCTGGCCCATCCAGATCCTGGATCCCAAATCCTGCCATTTTGGGCAGAAATGGAGCAGAATGTTGGAGATGTTGGGATACCAGAGGGAGAGGGAGCAGTGCCTGCACCAGTCTAGAACCATGTAGCAGGTGAAGCCCTCCTGCTGCCCCTCTCCAAAAGCAGTGAGCACAGTTCTTCCTTAAACAGAAAATGCTCTCTTGCTTTTCCTCTAATCAGACAGAAATATTCTCTTTACTCCTAACTGGAGCACATCTAGTCTACACACAGTGTAATGGGGACACCCTGCTTTTATCAGCTGTTGGGAAATAACCTGTTTCTTCCATGCTGGAGGAGACAAGCTGCACATCTTGCACACCAGGCTCTTGCTTCCTGCAGCCCCATAGGACGGTTTTGGGGCGAGCTGCCCTCACTGGCAGGGGACTACATGGTTTATGGGTTCAGGGGCTTGCTGCTCATTTCCACCCTGCAGTTCTGCCAGTCACCCTTCTCCCAAGAACAGGACAGCCAGCCTGGGCTCTTGGTGCTTTCCAAGTCCCTCTGAGGGCAGCTCACATCCAAGGGCAAAGATGAGGTTCAGGCTGGTGCTCCTGACAGTATTTTACTGAAACGTGTTCTTCTGATAATGCTAGCCAGATAAATACGGACAAATCCTTATTAAGGATTCTGTGGGTTAAATAATAGGTGTTGAGCCTGCTCTCAGGTTTTTCTATATAAGTGAAGTGCCTGACGGTCTCCCCACAGCTTGCCCGAGCGCATCGGTTCGGCCACCAGCCAGAGCAGTGCCATCATCAATGACCGGCTCCAGGAGCTGGTGAAGCTCTTCAAGGAGCGCACAGAGAAGGTGAAAGAGAAGCTGACCGACCCTGATGTCACCTCCGATGATGAGAGCCCTTCGGCATGTGAGTTTGGGTTGGGCTGGGAGTCTGAAAGAGGTAAAGCCAAATGCTGGGGAGGAATCTGGAGGTTTTTGATGGGCAGAAGAGGGAGGTTTGCAGGTGGTGTTGGTGGCCTTGAGAAGATCGAGAAATAGGAATTGTAATTTGGTTTAATGACCTGGAAGCTGTTTCCCTCTGGGCAGCTCTGGGAGACATGATCTGTAAAGGCATTGTCTTAAACCAAATTGCCCTGAGAAGAATTTCTGCTGTTTAAAATAATCGTGTGGCCTCTCCCAGCCCCTTCCAAGCCAGCGCCCCCAGCACCACCACCGCCCCCCCCGGCAGAAGCGCCACCAGGGGACAAGGCAGCAGATGATGAACACTACTGCGAGATGCTGTGCTGCACCTTCAAGTGCCAGCCCTGGATGGCCCGCCTGAAGAGCTACCAGTTCCCCAGCAGCATCGACCCGCTCACCAGTGAGAGACGAGCGCGGAAGGGCTGGGAGAACCCTGGGTGGGATGGGGAGGGGATGGAGGGGAGCAGGGGACAGCACCAGCTCTGGGATGCCGCGGAGAGCACTGGCACAGGCTGCACAGAGAAGCTGTGGCTGCCCCATCCCTGGAAATGTTCAAGGCCAGGTTGGATGGGGCTTTGGGGAAGCTGGTCTGGTGGGAGGTGTCCCTGCCCATGGGCCAAGATGCTCTTTAAGGTCCCTCCCAACCGAACCCATTCAATGATTCTACAGCTCAGTTTACGTGTAAGCTAGCTCTAAACTCCTGTGTGAAATCCACGGGCTTTCCTAAATGCTTCCTGATGGCTGCGAGTGCCGGCAGCACCACCAGGTGGAGAAGGAACAGCGTTTTTCTGCTGCTCAGTCTTCATAGAGGGCAAACGCTGAACTCGGCAGGGGAGCCCAGCTCCTTCCTTAGATTAAAAAAAAATAATAAAGTTAGTATTGTGGGAGCAAAGCAAAACCAACTGTGACTGAATCAGCCAAGTTAGAAGAGGCTTTCTGATAAAAAGCAATGTGCTCTGCAGCAGACAGCATTACCTTTGCACCTAGAGCCCAGCTCACCCATCCTTTTGCTGGCCCCTGCTTGCCACTTGCCACCAGATGCTATCAGGAGAAGAACCTGTAGTCTCCTGCAGGTTTCACCCTTGTGCTGGGGGCAGGCAAGGGGTGAAATCCCCTCATATAGTAGGTTTGCATAACCGGGAGATGTGTGGCCAGCTCGTCAGGGTGTGTTTCCCTGTGCACAGACCTGATGTATGTGCTGTGGCTCTTCTTCGTTGTCCTGGCCTGGAACTGGAACTGCTGGCTGATCCCCGTCCGCTGGGCTTTCCCCTACCAGACGCCATCCAACATCCACTTCTGGCTGCTCGTGGACTACCTCTGCGACCTCATCTACCTGCTGGACATCATCGTTTTTCAGACCCGCCTGCAGTTTGTGCGGGGGGGAGACATAATAGTGAGTGGCAGCGTGCATTGCATCCCACTGAGCTGACACGGCTGTGGGGACATCCCAGCCCCAACACCCCCAGTGGCTGTTGGTGTCTGGATCAGGCTCCAGGCAAACCAGCAACCCTACCACCACAGCTAGGATTTGCTCTTCATCTTCCCACTAGGGCTGGGTGCACTCTGGGAGGACTGCAGACACCTTTCCTGCCGGGGATAAGGTGGCAGTCTGTTTGTCTCCCAGACATATGTATTTTCCCTACAAAATCAGTATCAGGCCATTAGAAAGTGCAGGTCCGTGGTGGTTCCCAGGGCCAGGATGTGAGGGTGCTGCTCCTCGGGGCAGTGCTGCCAGCGGGGCGGTGAGCGCGCCGTCCAGCCCTGGCACAGCTGGCAGCCTGCACCCGCTGACAGCAGAACAAACTCGGGGTTTGTTTCCTGGAGCACCGCTAGGCAGAATTCATTAGCAGTAGGACAGAGGTGATTGCCATCTGAATGCATAGCTCATGAGTCTGAGATAAGTGAAAACCTTTGGTTTCGTTTCCACAGGCAATTAAATAATCTGTGAAAAATAAAAGCTTGGGGGTACAGCCTTCCTGCTGCTCGCGCTCAGACAGGGAGGCTTCTCCTGTGAACTCTGACTTTTGTGGTGCTGCCGCTGCAGTGTGCTTCCTCCAGGGCACAAAATGAGCAAGGGATATCCTGGGCAAGGGTGGGAAGTTGGCCTACAACCAGGTCTGCTGCTCCTCTTGCTCTGCTCCCCTTCCATGCACAGTGGGAGCAGGTTCCCGGTTGTGGCACAGAAGGGGAAAGCCATACATGACTGGGTTGGTGGTGACTTTGCTCTCTGCAAGCAATAATCAACCTCTCTCTTTCTCTCTCTCTTTTGCTATTCCCCTGCAATTCCTAACCAGAGTGACAAAAAGGCCATGAAGGAGAACTACCTGCATTCACAGCGCTTTAAGGTCTGGCATAATTTCCTTTATTACTTTGCGTCTTTGATCCACGACATGGCTTGCAGTTCCACCCCGCTGGGCCTGCAGGTTCTGCAGAGGTTTCTCTCTCTGTGTGGGTTTCAGATGGATGTGGTATGCCTCCTTCCCCTGGATTTCTTCTACTTCAAAGTCGGTGTCAACCCGCTGCTGCGTTTTCCCCGCTGCCTGAAGGTGAGTGGGAGCGGGCAGACCCACGCAGCCCCCCGTGCCAAAGGGACACAGAAGGGTCCCTCGTTGGTTTGTGTGGCTGTGGCTTGCCAGAATAATCAAAGACAGGACGATGACCGAAGCCCTTGAGGGGCTGTCGGTCAATATTTCAACCTTATTATTCCTACATTTTATTAGAAGGGCATGTGCAGATGGGGCGTGTCTGCCCGTGGCCGTTCATGCTGCAGGAGTGAGGCTGGGGGCCAGCCGGGGAGCTTGGCTGTGAGGGGGCTTGGAGCAGGGACGTGCCCTGCTTGCTGGCTCCTTGGGAAGCCGTGGCACACTGGAGCACACTGCTTTCCTTCTCCTCCCAGTACATGGCCTTCTTCGAGTTCAACAACCGCCTTGAGGCCATCCTGAGCAAGGCATACATCTACAGGTGAGCAGCTGAGGAATCGTTCATGGGGCGGGGAGATACTCATTGCTATTTATTACCGAGGAAAGAGGTTCGCTTTGGTGCACACCAGTTCTGGCTTTCCAGCTTACTTCCCCATGTCACTGTACTTGCTGACACAGGCAGTGGTGATGCTCCTGGCTGGCCTTTTCCTCACCTGGGCAGGCACAGAGGGGTGCATTTATTTCTTTTATACTTTTTTTTCTTTGCAGGGTGATTCGGACTACTGCCTATTTACTGTACAGCTTGCATGTGAACTCCTGCCTCTATTACTGGGCATCAGCCTATGAAGGACTGGGCTCTACCACCTGGGTCTATGATGGGGAAGGAAACAGGTACAAGCCAAGGCTCAGGTCCCCATGTAGTACGGCACACTGTGATGAATGGGAGCAAGAAAGGAGATGGTTGGATGCTGCTGGGTTCATAAAAATCTCTGAGGAAAGGCCTGGGGAGTCCCAGGAGAAGATGTGGCACCAGCGAGAATGACAGGGACAAGAGGGATGGGATGTGCAGCATTACAGTGTGCTCAAGATGAGGAGGCTGTGGCTGGGCTGAGGCTGAAGGAAACGGTGTGTTGAAGAGGCTGAAAAATTGTGAGCCTAGTGCTAGGGAACAGGGATGCCATGGGGAGAAGAGAGCACTGCGTGTGTTCCCATATGAGTACTTGGCTCATATTTGCTGCCAAAGATTGCTGCCTAGTGATTAACGCCCACAGCTGTGTGTTCCACAACACAGGCAAAATAAAGTACCAAATAACATTTAATTAATTTAGCACCATTCTCCTATGCAGTAAATAAGAGTTGGCTGAAAAAAAAAGGATTGTGCAAGTCCATTAAAGGCTTAGCGTGAGGTGTAGGAGGGGAAAGTGACTGTCAGCCTCCCAGCCTCAGTGCTGGTGTTTCCCACCTTTGCAGCACTCAGCTTACCATGCCAATTTTGTGGCTGTATGGTTATTTTGTGTGATACACATATGTGTACCTACCTCTAGGTATAACATCCAAAGGAGTGCACAAGACCAATGGATCAAGAATTCACTTGACATCTCTAGGGTCCTATGCCAACAATTTGCTCACACTTCTTTTTTTCCCATGGCTATTTCTAAAAGTGTAAGTGTTGCTGAAAATATGTTGTTGGTTTGTGGCAGTGAAGCTGAAAGAGGCAGAAAACATGCACAGCCAGAGCAGCAGAGCCTCCTATGGGGCTCCTTGCTCCTGCAGTGTCTCCAGAAGCACCTGGGAGGGAGTCTGCAAGCCCCTTCATTTTCTCTCCATCACCCACAATTACTTTCAGCGACGGCTCTGGCTTGCTGTGGCCAGAGATGTGAGCTCGGTCCTGAAGGGTGAAACAGGTCTTAATGCCAGAAACATGACCAAGCTGCCTCCTCTGCTCCTCCCAGTTACATCCGCTGCTACTACTGGGCAGTCAAAACCCTCATCACCATCGGGGGCCTGCCAGACCCCAAGACACTCTTCGAGATTGTCTTCCAGCTGCTGAACTACTTCACGGGTGTCTTTGCTTTCTCCGTCATGATCGGGCAGGTGAGTGGGAGCCGCTGTCCCAGGATGCACACAGGGTCTTCCCACCTCGGGTGGGGACAAGCTCAGTGGGGTTGGTCCACTGAGTTATTCCCAGGTTTGTTTTCCCCATACGCTGGCTCTTTACCTGCTCAGCATCAGCACAAGGCAAAAAGAATTGGGCAGATGCTGAAACCCCCCTGTCAGGACACAGCATATGACCGTGCTTGTGTTCTCCAGACTGCTTAACCTGCGTGGTGGATAGATGATGGCAAATAAACTCTCTCTTCCCACTCTTTCTTCCGTTCAGATGAGAGATGTGGTTGGTGCTGCTACTGCTGGGCAAACTTACTATCGGAGCTGCATGGACAGTACTATTAAATACATGAACTTCTACAAAATCCCCAAAACCGTGCAGAACCGTGTCAAAACATGGTATGAGTACACATGGCAATCACAAGGCATGCTAGGTAAGAGCCTGCTGCAAGGGCCAACACCTTCATCACCCTCATGCTCCACGTTTCACTACAGTTGTTTGTCTGAAATGTTTTTGCCAAAGAGCAGTGCCAGCAAATTGCACTATGGGTTTGGGGGGGTGCGGGTTATTTAACTCTTTTCTGGGTACATGGGCTGCCAGCGGGACATGGAGGCTTGGTGACCTGGTGTCCCCTGCAGCACAGTGTCCCCACCGTGCTGTCCCTCCTGCCACTCACCCCGTCCCCACTGCCAGGGAGCTCTGGGCACTGAGCCATGAGTGGGGAGGGCAAGAGCTGGCTCCTGCCACCGGCCGCTGGGCACCAAGGGTGTGCTCCTGGAGAAAGCGCTGAAAACAGCTGGGTTTCTGCTCTTCTTCCCCCAGATGAGTCTGAGCTGCTGGTGCAGCTGCCGGACAAGATGCGGCTGGACATCGCCATTGATGTGAACTACAACATCGTCAGCAAAGTGGCCCTCTTCCAGGTACCCTGGCAGCGCGTGTCCTGTCCTGCGCTGTGCCTCCCCACCGGCACGGGCTGACCGCTGTTGGCTGTGTTTTGGCGCAGGGCTGTGACAGGCAGATGATCTTCGACATGCTGAAGCGGCTGAGGTCGGTTGTCTACCTGCCAAATGACTACGTCTGTAAGAAGGTACCGAGCCACCCCGATGCCTCCCTCCCCTCCTGGTGGTGTGGCCGGGCTGTGCAGTGCAGCACAGGGCAGGAGCTCCATGGCACAGCCTGCACCGGGCACAGGGGTGCTCTGGGCAGGGCAACTGGAGCAAAAACATCCTTGGCTGCAGCTCACCTCGTGCAAAGCCTGACCCCTTCTACTGCAGCCATGAATGGCAGGAGAGCTGGGTGTGGGGCTGGAGGAGGCTTTGGGGTCAGGCGTGGATGCTCAGCAGTGAGCACCATCTGGATAAAGCAGTCGGAGAGCTTGCAGAAGGCTGAGAGGTCACAGGGGTTTCAGCACGGTGTGGGGCAGGGCATCCATAATAAGGTCTTTTTTTCAGGGTAACTCGCACAGCACCTGTCTCTGTTGCAGGGGGAGATCGGCCGCGAGATGTATATTATCCAGGCTGGACAAGTGCAGGTGCTGGGGGGACCCGACGGCAAAACCGTGCTGGTGACGCTGAAAGCTGGATCTGTGTTTGGAGAAATAAGGTCAGCGAAGCACTGCCAGGGAACCAGGGACATAAAGCCCATGGTCTTACAATGGTACAGGCTTGGAGAATTTCATCATGGGTAAAAATTAAACTCTGAGTCCTCTGAAAGAGAGAGGTGGAGGCACACAGTGGGGACAGGGAGGTTTTAGGTTATGAGCATTTTGCTGAGCTTGTTACTAGCACCATTCACATCTCTCGGTGTTTCATTCAGCTTGCTGGCAGCGGGAGGAGGAAATCGGCGAACAGCAAACGTTGTCGCTCATGGATTTGCTAATCTTTTCATTTTGGATAAGAAGGACTTGAATGAGATTTTGGTGCACTACCCAGAGTCTCAGAAGTTGCTGCGTAAGAAGGCCAAGTGAGTGTGAGCTGCTTGCTAGCCCCTGTGTCCTAAAATGACAGAGCACAGGTTTGAAAGTCGTGGGGAAGATTTCTCTGCCCTCAGCTGCAGCCAAGCATGGGAGACCACTCGGCACTTGCCCTGCAGCAGAACAAGGCTGGTGCAGGGACCCCGCGCTGCTCCTGCCATGTAGTGTGTGTGGAGAGCAAGGGACGTGCTGGGACCCCTGCTGCACGTCTCACGGTGGTGTTTTAATCTATAAAACCTCATCACTGAAAGCCAGTGCAACTCAGGAACACATAAGGCCAGCTCATATTCATTTGGAAATCTGTTAACGTATTCCCTCTAGTTTTTAGCATTACTCAGATTTGTTATTCTGTTCTTTCTAAGGTGTAAAAAGTCCCCATTCTTTAAAGGTCTTATTTTTCTGCATTATAAAATCCAGCTAATAGAATATATTCCTGGAGTGAAATAATCTCTTGTTCTCCTCACTGTAGGAAAATGCTGAAAAACAACAATAAACCCAGAGATGAGAAAGGGCAGCCCGTATCTCCGCTGATCATTCCCCCAAAGCCTGACACGCCGAAGCTCTTCCAGGCGGCCCTGGCTGCCATGGGGAAGACGGGAGGCAAAGGGCGTCTCGCACACCTCCGGTGGAAGCTGCAGGAGCTGAAGGCAATGCAGGCAGAGCAGGTCAGTGCGGGGAGGTCAGGAATTCGGCTCTGCTTTGTGGGGTGATGAGCGGCTGCGTTACCACTGGCTCCAGAGCTTGAGCTCATGTCTAACCTGGGCGACAGCAAAACCAGCCTCTCCGTCCTTCCTTCTGCTTTTGTCCAAAGGTGACAGCAGAAGAGCCTCCATTTTCCTGCTGTCTGGCCTGGAGGTTTGCTTTGCAGCAGAAAGGGGAAGTGCATTGACTTTTTGCCAAGCTATTTGACAGCACTAAGCCTGACTCTAGCTTGCTGCTGAGATATAACCACAGGCTAGCGTTTCTTCCTTGCCATGGCTATAGGGCCACTCGTAATTAATCGATATGCCGGCGGGACAGGGGTGATGCTGGCACCCAGCACCCGCGGGGCAGTTCGGGCCTGAAAAGCTTTGGCAGCAGGATTTGGGCAGTCACACAGCAGCAGGCGTGCTGTCCTTCCCACTCTGCACAGGCTACAGGGAAACTGCCTTCACCTTTCAATCATCAAGAGAAAACACTGGTAAAAACAGATCTTATGTCCATGCAGTCGCTGTTGTTCCTCTTCCCAGCACGGAGCTCTGCAGGCTAACATGTAAAGGGGGGTGAAACAGCAGCTGATAGGGAGTGCCCTGTGGCCTTGAGGCTGGTAAATATCTAGCGAGATACCAAACACTACTGCATTTCTGCAGTCCTTCACAGAAGCATGATGAAGTTTCAAGCTACTCAGTAACTTACAGTGAGTTATCAGCAGCTCTGAGCAGGGATGCTGCGGGCTCCACACAGTCACAGCAGCAAGACCTGGTGCTGGGGGGGCACACACAGAGCTGGTAGGGTGGGGGAACCCCTGGAGCAGGACGTCCTCCTCAGGGCACGTCCCTACAGCAGCTCTCTGAGGCCACTGCAGCTTCGTGCTGACAGAGCCAGGGCTTGAGGAGGGGGCAAGTCTTGAGCTGCCCTTGCATCACAACACCTCTGCAAAACCTTTACCAAGACAAAACCTTGTAGGAGCAAAAGGTGCTGGCATGCAAGAAAGTTTTGTTGCACTCATCCTGTCTTACCTCACCCCGAGGTCTGAAGGCTGTAATCCAGCTGCCTTTCTCACGGAGATCATCTTGGGCAGCAAGGTGAAAAGCCCCATGGTGAGCTCAGTGCAGTGAAACTCCCCCAAACACCTTTGCACAGCACAGATGACAAGGTTTGGGGTGATGGCTGAGGACCTGCCATGGACGAAAGTTTCCTGATGTTGATTTTGCCTTTATTTTGGATATTGCAGGATCCCAGTTTCAGTCCAATCCCACCAAAGTCACCAGTGCACCGCAGATCTCCTACTGCTTCCCCCAAAGCCTGCACCCCTCCGGGAGAGGAAATATGCTCAAAATCTTCTGATAATTTAGTCGCTATCCGTGTGATTTCAGCAGCGCAGGAGGATGAAGAAGTACTTGCTGCTGAGATTTCACAGAAGGAAGAAGAGGAAGAAGGGAAATGAAAAATAAGCGGATCTGGGGGCTGGTGGCACAAGTAGGAATTGGGCAAATGCTTCAGGTAGAAGCTTTTAGTTGTTAATGATTCCTGCACCGTGGTTGTAGGCTTTGCTAGCTAAGTGCTGCAGATGGGCTCTGCCTTTCTTCTCTGCTTAGTCCTTCACCCGCTGTTGTCAAAACCCTTTGCCAAATGACCCAGAACTACACAAGATTCCTGTGCTCATTCTTACTGAGCATCTGTCTGAATAGTCCCTATATGTATCAGGCCAGCCCTCTAGCCTTGAGATCTTACAGAGAGGGAGTGCAGAAGAAAAATGGCTCTTTACAGCTCTGAATGGTTAATGAGTGTCTGTCCAGATAAAGCCTGAAGTTGTTCACCTCCAAAAGCTGAGTCACTGCATGGCCAGAAACAAACACCAGAGGAAAAAAAAGAAAAAAAAAAAGATTCCTTTGTTGGACTTCAGGCAGTGGGGACGGTGACTCATCTGGAAAGGATTTGGACTCTGCTCCTAAGCCAAGCACAGACCAAGCTGGGTGTCCCGCCACACTGTGCCTGCTGCCACCAACAAGCGGTGCTCAGGGGGCAAATCCTGGCTGCTTCCAGCTGCCCTCCAGCTGGGACAGGGCAGAGGAGTGACACAAGTGCTTCCCCAAGCCACTACTTCAGGGTCAGGCCAGAGTCCACGGCGTGCAGAGCAGCGTGTGCAGCTGCATCCTGGGCATCCAGCTGCATCCAGCTCCAGCAGTGTCCCCGGGCCCACGGTCACGCTGCTGTCTCTCAGCCCCCTTGCCCACAGGGAAACTGCTCTGGCCCCATTCCCGCAGCAGCTCGTAGCAACATTTTCCTTCTTGTGGAGAAAGAGATGTGGCTGAGGAAGCTCCAGCTGCTCAGTGAATACCAACATGCTGCAAGTTTCTGCCTGTGACACATCCCTGGCACAAGGGTGGCACACCCACGTGGATCCCTGGGAAAGCCCCAGCTCCCATCCGAAGCCTGCTGGCTCATCTTCATGTCAGGAGGGCTTTTCCTACCTTTCCTACTCAGCTTTTTTTTCCTCTCTTGGAAAATATATGGGTTTCTGTGGTGGAAAGGGACAGAGTATATTAGTGTTAATTCATGATGGCTTGCTCTCTTTTAAACAAAACTTCAAGGAATTCCAACATGCCACTTGTGCATCTGAACCCACCGCTGCCCTTAACGTTGCAGAGGAAAATCTGAACCCATCCCCACTTCCCGTAATCTGTAGTGATTTGCAAGTGATTCCCTGGTTCCCTGCCGGGTAGGTTTGGGGCGGAGGAAGTGCTTTCCAGTATATAAATATTTAAATAAGCGAACCAGGAAACGTGGCAAAGTCAAAGCAGGGTTCTGATTTGCTGCTACAATTTGATACAGCTTAGAAAAACAGTTTACATCAGAAGTGTGCATAACGGCTTTCATAACCCACTGTATCTACAATAAACACCCTTCAGATTACCACCATTTTCCATGGATTTATTTCAAAATTCCAATTTTCCTTCTCCTGTCTAAAGCAGAGTAGATGTGCGTATGGGAGGTGTGCTTTCACACTTAGAGCTAAAGGATGGAAGCTTTTCCCTTACAATCCTCCCTGGATTCTGGAGCAACCTCTGCCCCCTGCTCCCAGCCCTTTTGACCCGTACTGGCCCCGGAGCCATGTCCTGGCACCAGCCACCTTACACCGATGTGTCCACAGCAAAAGGGAAGTTCACTCAAAGAAAAACTCTGCCCGAGTCATTTTGGGGATTGCGCTGCAAATATTTTCTTTAAAATCAGAGTTGCATCCTAGGAAGTTAATGCAATGCTCAGACTAGGTTTAAAAACAAGCAAGCAAACAAAAACCTCTCTGGGGAATATTTACGCCCCCTTTGAATGAGAACATACCCTCCTGGGGTCTTCATGGACTCAGATAGGGAGAAGAAAGGAAAAAAGCCTATCTATTCTGGTTCACAGATTTTCCAGTAAGTTTTCAGAGACACAAAGCTCACAAAATACTACTAGTAGAATTTATATACTTTTTTTTTTTTTAGTCACCAGAAGGAGAAAAAAAAAACCTTAAGTGACAAACACTTTTATGAGTATCTTAGGTTTCAAAATGCAGCATTAGACAACAATGGAAACATAACTGGCAATTCTGGAAACACGTGAAGATTTAAAACTAACCTCCCCTGGATCCGTTTATGGCTTTAGTTCTTCAGAGATTATTCCCCAGGTGCTAATTAAGGTCAAGGTGGGGCTGGGCTGTAAGCCCAGCTCTGTTTGCTGGGCAGAACTGTTTTGAAATGGCAGGTGGCCATATGAGCTCAGGAGCTGGGCAGCTGCAGGCTCATTGAGTGCCTCTGCTGCCAGGGGGGCTTGTCATAAATCATCTTTCTGCTACATTTTATAATTCCATTCATTTTCCACAGGGTGCTACCTTCCAGTTTTGCTACATTTGCAATGGGCTTCCTTTGCATTGGTCCCTGTTAAATATCTTAGAGCACACATTTACCCCAAGTCTGTTGTTTCCACCACCCTTGTAATGTTCCTGATTGATTTTGCAACACTCTATATACCTTTACTGCATTTCTCATTAGCTTTTGCTCGTTCAGTGTTGATGTGACTCAACTGCTGTATTGATTTGGTATGACATACATCCTCTAATAACATTAATGCAGAATTTGGGGATCTGTCTGTGCAGTAGCTTGTTGCCAGCCCAGTGCCAACAGTTGCCTTGGAAATTCTGCATTGCAGTCTTCTTCCTGACCTGTGCTTCTCTCATTTAACGACTGACTTCTCAGCGGCCCATGGGCGTAGAAACTAGCTATTCTTGCAACAGGATTTCAGCTGTTGCTGCTTTGAAGAGAAATCATTGGCACAGATAATTGCTGAAGGAAATGTAGAGCTTGCTGTTGCTGGCTCTGTATTAATGAGTTAGTTTTTGCCTCAATATCACAAGTAGTATCTTTGTTGGAGGCTTTGTATGCTCATTTTCTTTTTGGCCTATGCTGTTATATCTTTCAGAAATGTGGCACTGATTTGATGTTCTGTATAAAGTCTAAAAAGACAAATGTCTCAGATAGGAAGATCAAATTGCAAAAGGAATAATATAAACCAATACAGATACCTTACTGTTTTTGTTTTCCTATGGGTAGAAACAGAGTGGGTATCTTCCCTATTTATAGCTAAAGCAATCTTTTAAAAAGATTAAGTACAATGGCAGGCTAATCACTGATAAGGTTATAACAAGAGTAAAAACAAATCAGCAGGTCTAGCTATTAGACTTCGATCTAGAAAGAAATTGCATTACAAATGGAAAGCCCAGTTAAATGGCATTTAATTATAAAGCTTGAAATAAAATTAAGTTCTCCATGTTTCAAGATTAAAGTGCTTAACAAGGAGAACATACTCCTAACACTGTGAACCACTTTTTCTGCATTTTTTTTTCCATTGCACAGATCTACTTTGATTCTTGCTCACAGTTAAATCCCCCTGACTCCATCTTCCCTTGGTTTAAACAGAGCTGAGATCTATCTGATTTTCTTTGCCTGGATGTGGTGCTGTGCTGAAGCACAGATCTCATTTTAAGTGCAGTGGTAGTTATAATGGAATTAACACCCAGAAAAAAGAAAAAAGAAAAAAAAAAAAAAGGCCAGGCCACCGGTTGGGAAGGGGTGAAACAGGGTGAGGCGTTCATTAGCAGCAGCTGCTTTAGCTTGGGCAGGATGACATTCTTCTTTTTCTCATCCCTTCCTCATTTACTCGTTCTCATTTGGGGATGAAACTTTCCAAGTCTGGTTCATGCCCAAGGGTCAATGTTTTAGGGGGAATCTGAGCAATATCCAGCGAGTTGGTTTTGAGTCATCTGAAGTCAAGCTGAGATATGTAAGTTACTTCACACGTTTTTTCCCCTTTTACAGGTCACTTGATACATGTGAAGAGCTAGAAAAGCTGAAGAAGTCAAACAGCTAAGCTCTACAAACTTTCCTTGGTTAAATTAGAAGTATTAGGCTAAGGGGTGGGATGTAAGCAACCAAAAATTGTGATAGATCGGATAGAGAGGCTGCTGCAGAGGGATATCCTGCCAGCCCCAGGCTGCAACCTGCCAGCATGGCACAGCACAGCACGGCACAGCATGGCACGGCACAGCAGGGTGCCTTCCACCACATGCAGCTGCAGTTCCCCTGCATCCTTCTGCACCCCAGCACCCCCACATCCCAGCCCGTGGCTCTTCCAAGGCAGAGTCTAGAGCTCCAAATTGCAAGCATCGGGTGGAACATGCCACTGTGTCACTAGAGGAATGCGGACCAGCCAGACTAGTTGCTCAGCCCAGATAAGAGGCTCTTTCATACTGCAAAAAATACCAATATCACATGCAAATCCCTCAGCTGCCATGGTAACTGGCTGGTGCAGCGTGCGTGCAAGCACAGCAGCCAGCGTGGCTGCCTCCAGATCCAGCTGCACGACCACCACTGAGACAGGACCTGCAGCATCAACAGGGCTCCTGGTGTCCCAAAACAGGAGCACAGCTGCACAGGACAGCTCCAGCAGCAAAACCCAGGCAGCCCCGGGCAGCAGGGAGGGCACAAGTGAAGGCACGTGGCCCTGCCTGAGCAGCACCCTGCTGCACACCAGGACAAGGTGTATAAAAGTGATAAGTGTGTGCTTTAATATGTGTAGCACGCCTCAATCTGTGCAGCATGTGTATGCGACATGAAGGACTCAGCTTGCTTGGCAGACGGGCCCTTTTCCTGTTTTTCTGGCATTTAGAACTGCCTTGACCTCCTGGTCCCATCACTTTTAACACTAATGTGCTTTTCATTAAGGTGTTTTCCTGCACACTAATTATGTTGGTTTTCCTTTTGTAAATTAGCCTGATACGATCTGTGTGTCTTGGCAAACAGCCTCCAGAACAGTAACCAAAGTCTTTTTGTTTGATCATTGTTTACTTTGCAAATCTCCCTGGTTTTACTTTTCTGGCTGCCTTCTAGAAAGCGTCTCCCAGCCCGTGTGTTCAGATTGGAGGGAAATGGGGCTTTGCAGCCTTCCTTCCTCCAGGAATGGGCGAGGTTTCAGTATTTCTGAGGCCCTCAGGCTACAACAAGGGCATTTCTCCCGCTGCTGTCCCCCAGTCTCCTCCCTGGTCCCATCACCATGTGCCCAAGCCCAGCTGTGCAGAGGTGCAGGTCTGCACCAAGCTTGTAGTGGGTAGTGGAAAAGCCCAACTGATGCCCTCATTCCTGGTCAAGAGGCACCTTTTGACTACAGCCAGTACTCACAGCAGCAGACCTGATCCCATCTAAATCTGGCTAGCTGCAGAGAGAGTCCACCTGCCTGCGGAAGCTAAGAAATAAGTTGTATCAGCAATTTGCCTGGGACTAACAGTGCCCAGGGAGGGGACAGGCTTTAATCTGCTCTCACTTACTTAATGCACTGGCAGATAGGAGTGGAGGGGAATTGCTCTCTCTGTTTCTGTTGTGGACTGGGCAAAACCAGGAGAGAAATTCACCGGCAAAGTGATGCAGGCAGCATGGCATGGGTAGTGTCCTCTGCCCTTGCTTGCTGAGGGCACAGGGGGGCAGGGGAGCAGCCCCCAGGCTGCACATCAGCCCTGGGGACCCTTTTGGGGCCAGGAACCTTCCAGGAACACCACCCAAGCCAAAGCATTTTCAGTGGAAGAGGAGAACCAGCACCATGCATGCGCTGAGCGTCCTGGCAGCGCTGTCAGTGCTCGGCTGGAGCAGGGGCAGCAAGCGCAGGAGATGGGCCTGGGAAGATTCGCAGGCTGCAGGGAGCGTCCCTGCCTGTCGTCCCCAGGGGTGCCGCTGCCCACCTGCTGGCACCACGCCGAGCCTGGCTGGCACCAGGGGATGCTTCAGAGAGACGTGGCCGGGAAAAGGGCTGGTGAGAGGCCTCCAGGTGAGAGGCGGCGGCGGGGTGGGAGGGATGCTGGTGGGCGGCTGGGCTGGGGCTGTGCGGCTCAGGCAGCACCTGCCTGCAATGAAAACCTGAAACCCTCCTCTGGAGCTGAGCAGTTGTCATGAAATATGCATGGATGCTCGTGCATGGGCTCCACACGTATTCTGCGGCGCTGCTTCCCAAGGGGATAATTAAGTGTCGCTCTTCATCTGGTGATCACTTCAAGATCAAGGCAGTGGATATCCAAATAGAGAAGCATCCGCTGCAGAGAGCCCTGGGCCCATCTTGTGGCCCTGGGCATGGTGCTCAGTGCCTTGCCAGCACTTCGGTCCTCCTCCTCCTCTAGTTCTTTCTTTATCTTGCCCTTATTTTGTCACCCGTCACCTCTGTAGGATCCCAGAATAGGCAGGCAGCAGAGCCAGGAGGCATCAGGCTGGTTGGTATTCATTGGGCATGCACCATGGAAGTTTTCTGTTGCAAACTATCACTGTGTCTCCATGCTGCTCCACTTTCTTCAAATATTATTAGCATGGAGGCCAAAACAGGGAATTTAAGTCTTTGATTGTCCTGTGAACTCCCACCAGTGTCG